TCATTTTTATAGGAATAGTTTTCTGAGAATGGTGACAGAAGGGTCAGGGATTGACCTGTGTTTGTCCTAACACTGACACCATTGCTAAGTTGTCAGTCTTCTTGGGACTTGGGACTTGATGGGTTTTTGGTTTTCATTTGGTTTAGCTTAGGCGTTAAGGAAGTGGGAAGCTAACTTTTTTTTTCCTTTGGTAAGCTCAGAACTCATTGCCATGCTGTAGGGTTCATTCAAGCCTGCCCAGAACGTTGAAGCGTCTTTTGTTCACAGTCTCCCTCTACTCCAGGCACTCGCTATGTCTACTTGACAAAAGCATTTGCTTGAAAACTGTATTCTTACCGGCCCAGACAACTTTCTCTTGTGCTGACAAGCAGAATGTTCTAGAAACAGAAATGTACTGGTTCTTTCCACTTGGGCATGGTGCTCTGAGTAGAGTTGCTGAGACAGACGGACGGACAGACAGACGGACAGACAGACAGACGGACAGACAGACAGACAGACAGACAGACAGACAGACAGACACACACACACACACACACACACACACACACACACACACACACACGGCACCTCGCTCCAGAGCCTGAAGAGAATTTTTCTCCCCGCCCTCCCGTACCTGTGTGCCGATGCATCCCCGAGGGTGCTCCCTCTCCTCTGCCAGCCCCACCTGCTGCCACACCTAGCACACCCTCCTCTGCCTCCCACCAGGAGCACCTATCACCACCATCCCTGTGAGCCTCCATTTAGGGTCTTCTGTGGTGCAGGCACTGCTCCCATATTCTAGATGTTTCTGCACTGACAATTCCCCATCACAAGCAGTACAGTGAGAACCATGGTCATTTTCACTTGATAGGAAAATCAGCTGAGGTTGGGAAAGGTTGGTTTCCAAGCTCCCTAGCTGAAGCGTGACACCGGGTCAGCTCCGGGGACCATGCACATAAGCACTGCCATACTTGCTGCTACTGTGCCATGCTGTTTAGTCACTTACACGGTTGTCACTGCCCTGAACCTACACAATTGTCACTGCCCTGGACCACTGCATTTCCTGGGTGGTGGGGGGGACTGTCTTATCTACTGTGGATTGCCTGGAGGGTCTGCCACAGTGACAGTAAGGTGATCGTTAATCACTTGTGGAATGAATAAACAGATTGTTTCTAGTGCTTCTATCCCATGTCCCACGTGACTTGAGAGATGTGTCCTGCAAGAGCAGGTGGCCTTTGATGGCCTCCAAGCAAAAGCCCACAAAGCTGGTGGCCCTGGACTGAATTTGGACAAAAGGCTAGAGCTGTCCACTCCTGAGCTGAGTAAAGTGACCAACATAATTGACCTTGGCAGCTGGGTAAACAATGGCCAAGTATAACCTCCCCCAGAAAACAGTGGTCAGAAGGGAGTCAGGACGGCACTTGACATACCACACTTAAGAACTGAGGTTGGCTAAGCTAACAGGGTTGCTCTTGGGTTGCTGGTAAGAGAGGAAGGTTGATAGCACACAGCTTAATTCTTTAAACCCTCCACTAGCAAAATAATAAATCCCATCTTTTCCCCAAAATTACTTAAACATTCAGCACATTTGTAAATACGACATAAAGGAACAAAAAGGACCTTCGAATGAGTTAAGTGTGTACCACACATGCTGAAACCTGGCATTCTGTGTTTGCTATGGATGAAGCAAAGAGTGAAGTGAATGTACACAGTATCGTGTGTATCTGCAATGAGGGACCAACAAGGTGATGTGTTCACAGCTAATGTTTAATGTCCAGATTCTATCTCGGGGCTCTCAGAAAGCTTGATTGACCTAACTTGGTAGCCAGTGTGGCTAGAACTACAGCCAAACTCTCCTGGGGACAGGAGCCAGTTTTACAGCCTGTTACCTGATCAGCCTGACGATTCAGCCATACCTAAGCCATCTCTCCCAAATAGATACCATAACCACCTATGGTCAAACACTCACTTATTTCTTTAATCTACAGCTAAATATAACAAAAGTACTAAAGCTTTGTGAGATTTGAATTTGACTTTGGAACTAGTATTTAGGGGAATTTGCAGTCATCAGCCTACATTCCAGAGAAAATTGCTGCCCCAGAAGCTCTACATAAATATTGCATCCTCTCTAGAGTCTTCATAGGTCAGCACTACATACCAGCTTTCAGGGCTTTGGGTCACAATCAGAAACTCACTTTATACTCACATACTTATATTGCTTGAGTTATACTGAGATCTCTTAGAGAGGATGACTGGGAGAAAAGGTGTGATCCCTGGGTAGAATGGGCCCTCTCTGTCCAGGACAAGGGGTATATGCAGAATAATGTCCCCACACCCATAACCCCAATGCTGCCCCTTCCCATTATATTGGATTGGAAATATGAATCAGGGGGCTTCAGAAATGCAAGAAGCAAGCCAATGGGATTTCTAATGAGAAGGGAAGATTACTTACAGACAGGTAATTTCTGAGACAGTTTGGCTGTCACGGTGTGTGTGTGCGTGCGTGCGTGTGTGTTACTGGCTACCATGGTCTCTGGCCTCTGGCCCTTTCCACGAGATCTATTTTCAGAAGCCATCCCCATTAATCCCGCTGCCCCCACTATCTGCCTCCAGGCTGCTTCCCACAGGACCAGCCCAGGAAGGAGATGCAGACTTTTAGAAATGCGCTTCTGAACCTCACTGGCATTGTCAGCATCCACAGAAGGCCCACTGCGGGACTCCGGTCAACACCAGGAGGAAACATAATGCCATCAACTTAGATGTGGGATTAGTGTTCACCAGACACACTAAGGAACAGAAATTCCTTGGCCTCCTGCTGGCTTATTGTGTGAGGGAGAAGTCCAGCAGATGCGCTAGCAACCTTCCTTGAACAATACAATAATCTAGCACTTTCTATTTGGAGACAGAATTACCACTAATGGGATTTTTGCCAGTGACACAAACACAAATGCAAGAACCTTTTCTGACCTTCATAATGTGGCCTGCCTCTGGCTGTGATAATGCACCAAGATGCAAAAACATAGACACTTTCCTTTAGAAAATTAACCACAATACTAGAAAGAAGACGAAAAGCCCAACATCATTTGGAGACTATGTAGGTCCAGCTACTTGACTGTTAAAACATCTACAACCATTAGGTTGGATTTGAAAAAAAAAAAAGCTGGGAGGCTCAGGAAATAAGGCAGAGAAACAAATACCTTTATAAAGGAAAGACATTTTTTGAAACATACTCAATTGTCTTCTTGTGGAAAACTTTGACAAAACTATCACAGCAGAGCATACAGCGTATTTCCTGGAACAAGCTTTCATCATGTCCTAACCTTCATTTTGCAAATAGAGACATCGAGGTCCAAGAAATTAAATGAGTATCTGAAATTCACAGTACGAGCTAGGGTTCGGCCAAGAAATGGAGCAAGGCAGACAACAGGAAATGAGAAAAAGGAAGCGGCTTGAAGAACCCAAGAGTGCTGGAATTATGCAAATCAGACACCGGCCCTGTTTCCCCTCCTGTGACTCCTAAGCACCACCCCCCACCCCCATCCCCCCACCCCCACCCCCCACCCCGCTGATCTTCTCTATCATCAGACCCCTCCTATCCATGCTGGAAAAGGTACCATTGCACAGAACAAGGGAGGTGCTGTAGGATTGGGTGAGAGAACTATCCTCTGAAGCCCGTCCCACTCTCAATGGACCTACCTCCCACTCTGAGTGGGCATAATGGTACCCAAGGCACAGCCAACAGTGGTTTACTGTCTGTATGTAAACATGCACACACACATCCAAGAGCTGAGACTTATTTTCCTAAAGCTTAAACCATAGAGAAAGATGGCTGTTGATGGTTTGCTTGTGTTTTAAGTTACAATCAAATCTTTGTTAAGAACACCTTCATCCTTCTGTTTGGGGGACACAGGTCAGTGGCGAGGCTGTCCACAGTACCCACCCATCCTCAACAGAAAGTGAATAGCCAAAACCACCTCTTTAAATTGTTTACAGGCAGGGAGGGGAGGGGGAGAATTGGAAAGATGGCAGTCAATGAAATTGAGTTGGGAGTTTTGGGTTTTGTTTTTAAGAGTCTTGGGGAGGGTGTCTGGTTTTGTATTTATAGAGATGGAGTGGCGGTGTTGGTTTTAGGTTCATAAGTATAGTGGCTTACACCTGTAATTCCAGCAGCCAGAGGATGGGGTAGGAAGATTGCATGAGATGAGCTATGGAGTGAAACCTGTATTTGAAAAAAAAAAATCAATATTATCACTTAAGAACTAGCTGTCCATTTACTATTGTCTGGTACCTGTAGCTTGAATTAACAGTTGGTCCTTGGTGTCAGTCCTCAATAAGGAAGCCATGCTGCCTCTAATGATTCTCTGGGCAGCTGAGGCCTTAAGGGAATCCCAAAGACTGTCTGAATCCTAATGTATTCACTGTTGACTTATTTACAGGCTTTACACCTCCCCCCATCCCAGCCCCTTTGTGATGTTTAATAATTTATAAGAAGAAGTTTTATCATGTAAATTAAACCAGCCGCCACTGCCATCCTTATCAAAGGTAGCTGCTAAACTGTGAATCTTTGCACAAAAAGGGGTGAGGGGGGTGGAGGGGGGATGAAGGGTGCTCTGAGCCTGGGTGTGTAAACCAGTATCAATTCAGCAGGACAGCGTAACTGAACACAGCTGGGAAAGCAGCCTCTGCAGCTTGAAAAAGCTACTCCATTCTCTAGCCCGTCTCTGGTGCAATTAACGAACCTGGTAGGCAATTAAAATTCAGGTCAGCACACAGCAACAATGGGGCTCTTTGATGTAAGGGCAGCTTTGGCCATTCTTGTGTACTCATTAAACAGGTTAATCAACTTAGTGCAGGATATAGGACAGGAGTAACCAAAAACTGTGCTTAATCACCACTACCCCAGGAGACTCGGCAGGAAGCTCTCTCCGTCCATGTGTTTGATGCTGCAGCCGCTGGTTCGGTCATCCTGGTGGAGGTGCCATTTCTGGAACTTTGTGCTTTTTAAAGCAAGGACATGTAGATATTAGCAAATACTATCCATATTTATTAGTCATTAAATGCTACAACATAGATGATGGTATGGGTGTCTTTACTTCTTTCCTCCTGTGAATTTTTCCCTCTCGGTTCTGGGGACTCCAGATCAGGCTTGTGCTGTCTGCTCTTTGCAGTGAGGGAAGCCCGTGACAGTGTGACACTTTACGCTCACTTGATCCTTGGTCTCCTAATAGACTTCCATAGGTCAAAACAGCATGCCTGCTACAATAGAAAAATCTAGACATCAAGGATTAAAGGCATGGCTTTAAATCTAGCTCCCTGACCCTCTGGTCTGAAAGTACTCATTTGGGAAGACAAAAGAAACTGAGCTTGAGGGTGTGGCTACGAGGGTATCATCCAATGAGGTCTGCGAACTGCAAATGCACAGAACTTAATGGAAAGGATTCCTCCATTTAAAAAGGGCTTTCCCGTTACCACCATCTAGAACATTAATCAGGCCATCTTCTTTGCCTAAAACCTTTTTTTCAGTGTTTCATACAAACCAGTGTTTTCCTAACAGAGTAACTGAATGTGCCACATATGAGATGAGGCTAAAGAATGAAAATCTTGGGGCTGGAGCGATGATGCAGCTGTTAAGAGCACTCCCTGCTCTTCCAGAGGACTCCAGTTTGGTTCCCAGGACCCATGCAGAGACTTAGAAACATCTGCAACTCCAGCATTAGAGGATCCAATGCCCTCCGTGGACCTCCACTGGCACCTGCATACATGAGAGAGAGAGAGAGAGAGAGAGAGAGAGAGAGAGAGAGAGAGAGAGAGAGAGAGAGAGAGAGAGAGAGATAAGAAAATAAATCTTTAAAAAGATAAATCTTTATTTATAAAGAATAAAAACCCCAAGTCTGTACTCCCTGCTACTCAGGAATTTGAAGCAGAGACAATAGCAGCCCAAGAGCTCAAGGCTATGACAAGATAAAGCATTTTTCACTGCTGTCTAAATCACAGCGTCTATGCAACTTTAAGAGGGAGGCGGCATGAAAGGGTGTCACATATGTTCACACGCTCCTTCTTTGGGGAGCAGATATGACACAAAAGACCCTTTCCGTGAGCAGTCAGAGGTAGCGCGGGTACACTCTTGGCTAAATATTCACAGAATGGAGAGCAACCAGGCTCAGCAGGTACTGACTTAAGCCTCATAACCTGGTGGGATGCCCAGAATCCATACGGTACAAGGAGCGAGCTGACTCCTGCAAGTGGTCCTCTGACACCCACACCCACACCAAGGCATGTATATGCCCTTGTGCTGGTTGGTTTTATGCCAACTTGACACCCGTTAGGCATTTAGGAAGAGGGACTCTCAATGGACACAACGCCTCTACCAGACCCACCTGGGACAAGCCTGTGGTGTATTTTCTTGATGGACAAGTGATGTTGCTGGTGTCAGCCCCGAACTGGTGCTCCTGCGTTCTCTAGGAAAGCAGGCTGAGAAAGCTATGAGGTTCAAGCTAGTAAGCAGCATCCTCCATGGCCTCTGCTTCAGCTCCTGCCCTCAGGTTTCTGCTTGACTTCCTGTCCTGACTCCCTCCATGATGGACTGTTACCTGGAAGAATAAGATGAAATAGACGCTTTCTTCCCCCAGTTGCTTTTTGGTCATGGTTTATCATAGCAAGAGAAACCAAATGAAGACAGCACCCGCCCCCACCCAGCAAATAAATGTAACTTTAAAAATCTTTTCAGAAACAGAAAGTAAACCAAATAACTCTTGAATAGTCATTAAGAAAGCACACTAGATTCCTTGACCATTACATGCTCGGCCTTTAATAGAAAATCTAAACAGTACCTCCATACACACACACACACACACACACACACACACACACACACACACACAGAGAGAGAGAGAGAGAGAGAGAGAGAGAGAGAGAGAGAGAGAGAGAGAGAGAGAGAGAGGCTCAGAGATCATCGTGAATGAAGGATAGGACTCAGGGGCTAAAGCAATAACTCAGTAGTGAAGAGCATTGCTTCTATTCCCGAAGGCCTGAGTTCCATTCCCAGCATCCCCAAGGCGGACCAGAACCATCTGTAACTCCAGTTCCAGGGGATCTGATGCCTACTGCCTTCAGTGGGCACCAGGCAAGCATGTGGTACACAGACATATATGCAAGCAAAACAGCCATGTACAAAAAATAAAATTTAAAAGGGAAGAAAAATAAATTGAGCCAGAGGATAGGGAGGAGGGCTGTTTAAATGCAGACATGATGTGGCCACTGTACTCACAAATCCACTATAGCTGTGGTTAGTACACAGACCTTTGGAAGATCAAACCACCAAGATGAGTCAGTGTTCCAGTTGGCAGCACTCACTGGACACAGTGGGCTATAAGAAAATAAAATAATAAAATGAGAGAGGGCCATGAATGTGGGAAGGAGACTTGTTAGAGGGGGTTCATGTGGGTGTTGGAAGGGTAGTTTCAGGTGTGTAAGATCAAGACACATTATATACATGTATGATCGTGTCAAAGAATAAGGGATTTAGGGGCTGGTGAAATGACTCGGTGGTTAAGAGCATTTGGCTGTTATTCCAGAGGACCTGAGTTCAACTCCCAGCACCCACATGGCAGCTCACAACTGTCTGTAACTCCAGTTCCTGAGGATTTGACCAATGTACATAATATAAAGTCGAATAAATTACTTTTTAAAAATTTTTGAAAAGAATGAGGGATCTTTTGAAAAAAGTAAACATATCTGATTCTTGGTCACAGTAGCTATGCAAGCATGGAGCTGTTGCTCTGAAGGCAGGCAAGGGAGAAGTTCCTCTAAGCTTCTGGGGACAGCAGTCCCACCAACCCATCAAAATACTTTTACATGCACTGCTGTTTCAAGGCACCTTGTTTAGTACAGATTGTTGATTAGTAACCACCGAACTCACGGCCAACAGGAATTCACAGCTTCAGTTTACTCAGATAGCTGGTTCCCGCCCATTGTTTTGACATCTCTGGGTGTGAGCACACAGTTCTCTCGATGCCCGATTCATTTGCATGTTATCAGTTGCTGAGTCACAAAACCTCTTTGTTTCTGTCTGGTGAGACAGGGCTTGATGTGCCCCAGGCTGTTGAAGATGGTGCTGATTTAGCCTGCACAGGCCTTGGGTCTACTACTAGATACTCACTATTGTTACTGTTATCATTGGCTTCAGAGTCGGTGATGAGGCATAAAAGATAATCGATACTGAGGACTAGAACAGTGTGTGTTGAATATTTAAGAAATAGTATCTGTCATTATTAGCAACTGGATAAAAATTAGAGAGCCAATGAGTCTATTGGATTAACATGAAGATCAAATGAACCAATAAGGGGCAAGACATCCAAAGGCTTTGATGCTGACTACTGTTCTCCCCAGAGCTACCCAGTTGAAGGCACAGATTGCTGGGTCCTTATCTGTCTGGCCTAGCTGTACAGACCCCACACTTTCTTACTCTCTTGTTTTAGAGAGCATAGTACTGTGTGTCCAGTTGACCTTTGACCTAGGTTGATTAGGAAGAATACTTTTTGGTATCTGTCTTAGTTATGGTTTCTATTGCTGCAAAGAGACACTATGACCATGCACCTCTTATAAAGGGAAACTTTTAATTGGGGCTGGCCTACAGTTTCAAAGGTTTAGTCCATTATTATCATGGCAGGAAGCATGATGGTGTGCAGGCAGACACGGTGCTGGAGAAGGAGCTAAGAGTTTTACATCTTGATCAGCAGGTAGCAGAAGAGACCTGTGACCCACACTGAGCATAGCTTGAACATATGAGGCCTCAAAGCCCACTCACACTTCCTCCAACAAGGCCACACCCCCAATAGTGTCACTCCCTATGGGTCAAACATTCAAACACATGAATCTATGGGAGCCATTCCTATTCAAACCCCACAGTTATCCTTACACATGGAGTAACAAATTAAGCATCCCCAATGGCTGGTGGTACCCAAAGAACTGGTCTTCCCAGATCCTCCTGTCTTCCCTTCAGGACGGTCTCCTTGAATGCCCTGCTAAAGCTTCCCTTTAAGGCACATCCCCAAAGCCTCTTTCCCACTCTCTCCACAGCACCACACTCCAGACTCAAGCTGCCTTCTCAGCTCCTGAAGCTGCAGATTCCCTGCATCTTACAAAGATACCTGTCTCCCCTCGAGGTTCCCAGGGCAATGTTCCTGGCTGTTGGCTGATTAATTCCCACTCTCCCACTAAGCGACTGACCTCTCTCTGCCTCCCAGATCAGAAATTCTTGGTTTGCTTCCCCATAGCATCCTCCACTCAGTCCACTATAATGGTTTGTTTGTTTGTCTGTGGTTGTTGTTTTGGTTTGGCTGGGGTTTGGTTTAGAGACTGGGTTTCTCTATAGCCTTGGCTATCCTGGAACTCACTCTGTAGACCAGGCTGGCCTCGAACTCACAGAGATCTGCCTGCCTCTGTCTCCCAACTTCTGGGATTAAAGGCGTGTGCCACCACCACCACCACCCAGCATAATGATTCATTTAATGTCTGTCCTTTCTATGGAGTATAAACACCAATAGCCTCTATCATATCTATGTAGGATATGACTGTGTCCTTAACTCCACCACGGTACTTCTCTCATTGGATCTCTTAAAACATACCCAGTGACTGAAAGAACAGTTATTAAACCAAAGGATAAAGTCTCAAAAGAAGTAATACACTTTGGATGCTGAATGTCCCCCAAAGGTCCATGTGGTCCACCTGGTGGTGCTGCTGGGAGGCAAGGAGAGCTTATGGGGGGTGGGGTGTTAGGTCTTTGTAGACACAAACTTAAATGGGACTTCCAACCCTTGCCCCTACCTCCTCCAATTTTTGCTTCCTGGCTAATTAGGTAATTGTCCACACACACTCCCACCATGATGAGTGGCCTCTTCTTAAACTCACAGTAACAGGGTTGAATGGTCACAAAATGTCAGACCTCCCAAACTATGAGCTAAAATCACTCCCATGTTAATCCATTTGTCATTATAAGTGGAAGCTGACTAACATAATGACAAAATTGAAAACTAAATCTCAATCCCAAGAAGTGGCCCCATTTACTAAGATAATGTGGTTTTGTGGCCAGAAGGGAAGAGAAACACACGTAACTGCCACGTGCCCCAGTTGCTCATCTGCAAGTCAGGTTTGCTGGAAAACCCACATGGCAGGGATGCTGTGTGCTACGGGGACTGATGCAAACGAAGAAAGACCTGGAATGGCCCCTCACAGGGCCTGGCACTGCGTGAGAACTGGGGTCTCTCGCTTTGGCTGTTTCTCCTGGGTAGTGTAATACCATGCTACACCATCAGAGCTAACCTTCTGAGCCTGGCACCGGCATCTGTGGGCTGGGATGCCCACGCCTTGGCCTAGAGGGGCTACGGTGGGAAGGGGTGAGGCTGCTACTCTGATGTTTTGGTCACCAGTGCCATGATACGGAGGAGACGGTCTTGTGGAAAGGCACACAAACCGTCAGTGCGTTTTCAGCCCGTCTGCAGAGGCTGGCCGAAGGAATGTTTCATCTTTATCCCCCAAGTCCCTAAGAATAACACATCAAAGAGCATGTTTGCATCCCTGCAACAGATAGCAGCTCTGCCATAAGCTTCAGGGTCCATACATGCTACAGATAGAATGAATTAATAATCCCACATGTTTATAAAATATGAATTAACCCAGGAAATATATAACTCCAAGTGAAATTCTTGCTTTTAAAAACCGAGAGGAGGAAAGCACTTTGAAAAGAAATGAAAGTCTAGTAAATTTCCATTTGTGGAATGTTACCAGGCTGACATTTGTCACAGGGAATGGCTCATGCCTGTGTGACAGGTAGGTGCTGATAGCACAGGAGCATCAGGCAATTGCAGGAGAAGAGGGTTCACACAACTGATTTTTTTAATTATATTTGCTTAGTTAGCTATTTTTTTAACAAAAGAGAACAAGAAAAGGGATCAGTGAGAATTGTAGACAGCCTAGCGCCTTTCTTTAAGCAGAGTAAATTACTCTTGAAAACCATGGCGCATTTACCTCCATCTTTGTGTATAATACCCCATGTCTGTGTGGAAGCAGTCTCTTTGATGGTAAACAGCTCTTCTCTGGGAAACATTGCCTGATCTTGCTCCATTGCGCTGAGTGGTTCCCTTAATAGCTGAACTGGTTTTCCTGGGGGAAAAAAAAAGAAGAAGAAAAGAAAGCCTCACAGGGAATGTGTATATTAGACTGCTTTCTCTTCCATAATGCTGTAATGGTAATTTATATTCATATTGGAAGATGTACAGAGCCATATACTGGCTTTGCAGAGCAGTGGTGAAAATGTTAATCGGTGTGTCTTAGACATGTGTGAATCTGTCAATCAATAAATTAATCAAAAATGTAAGAGAGTATAATATAAAAAATATCACACCAGAGGAAAGAAATGGTCCCGCCATTCTGTAAGAAGTCATGTACCGACGGCTGAGCCCCCTACACCCGTGCGCCTGACCCTGGAACACAATCCTGTGTGCATCTGGAAGAATGTGGCGGCACAGACGTTATTCATGGGAGAACTTAGGGTTGTTTCGCTGCTGAACAGGCTTCTGAGGCTGCGTGTTAGCACCAGGCGTTTCCACGCTTCTTTAAGAGGATCATCATTAGAGAAAGCAACTGTACAGTGCCCAGCGCTAGTTTTCTCACTGAGAATTTTCTACTTGTGACTTAAAAGAACATAACGGCTTTAAGAAAAATATCTATATGGGGCTGGGAAGATGGGTCTCCTGTTACAAACACTTGCTGCTCTTAAACAGGACCTGAGTTCAGTTCCCAGAGCCCACAAGGCAGCTCACAACCATCTGTTGCTCCTTTTCCAGGGGATCTGACACCTTCTTCTGGCCTTCATGGACACCAAGCATGCATGTGGTACACATACACACAGGCAAACACTCATGTTTTGCGAATACACACACACACACACACACACACACACACACATACACACACAAAAACAAAAACAAAAAAGACAGGAAGGAAGGAGAAGGAAGGTAGAAAGAAAGAAAGAAAGAAAGAAAGAAAGAAAGAAAGAAAGAAAGAAAGAAAGAAAGAAAGAAAGAAAGAAAGAAAGAAAGGAAAAGAAATGATTGGGGCCTGGAGAGTTTGCTCAGTGGTTAAGAACACTGGCTGTTCTTGAAGAGGACTCAGATTCAGTTCCCAGCACTGATATCATGGCTCACAACCTTCTTTAACTCCAATTCCAGGAAATCCAACACCTTCTCTGGCCTCTGTAAGCACCAGGCACACAACTATCACACATACATACAGGCAGGCAAAACACGCACACTCCTAAAGCAAAAATAAAGTAGTAGCTTTTAAAAGTCGGCATACCTTTGTATAGAGATGTATAGTATAAGATTTCCCAACCACGATAGGAAAAAGATTATAAAAAGTTGTCATCAGTATCACCTCCAGGTAAAGAAATACGTGAGTTGTGAGGGAATGTGTCTCTGTGTAAAGCAAGGAACACTTATTTCCATATTGTAAAATGTGTCAAGTTTTGTAGAGATAATAGTATTGACTGAAAAATGTTAATTACAGTAAATCTCCTAGAAACACCTTGGGCTAGAACAGCCCAAAGACTTCACCTTAGGAACCTCTCCTACTGCCCTTGCCAAATGTCCCCAGGTAGACTAAAACATTTCCCTTTGGCAACAGAGCCTAGAAGTAGTAAGTAGTATCCAGAAAAACCCAGTTACTGTTCATGGACATTCCCTGTAAGTGCTTCCTTCAACACACACACACACACACACACACACACACACACACACACACACACACGCATGCACGCACGAGAGCACATGCACATATGCACAAGCCTACAGACGTGAAACAGATGAGTAGATTCACCCAGAACCAAGCTCGTGAGCTCCACCCAGGCAAACATCTGGTCTGTTGGCAAATCCCACCTGAACAGATGTTCAGGCAGCTGCAGCCATGCACAGAGCCACCTGAGAGAAGGGAAGTAACTTTGCTATCCTTCCTCTGATACATCCAAGAAACCATCTACAAATAGAAATAGTAGATGGAATGTGTGGACAGAGAAGCCAGGGCAGTGTGTGCGCTCCATGCTTGGTTAGAACCAGTGCTACCTGGACTCCATCCTAAGTCTGTCCTTTTGCAACACAACACAGCCATCCTCCACGCTGTATTCCTAGTGGATGGTAACAGAAAGAGGCCAAGAGGAATCACAGCAGATGGATAGTGTCTATGTTAAAGCTTCTTTTGGAAATTTCTATTGTTCTCTGGGCAGCACAGAAATCATCTCCATTCCGCAAATCAATGACTTATCCTGGTTTGCAGAGCTGGCATCTGAGCTAGGAATAGAACCCCATTTCTTGAACCAACAGCCAAACGGTAACTGCCTGTTTGTATAAAGTAGACCAAGGTAAGGGGAATGTAAAGGAACCCTGGAACCCTGGAACTCAGAAGGCAGGAGGACCAGGAGTTTAAGGTCATCTTCAGCTATGCAGGGAGATTAGAACCAGCCTGGGCTACACTGAAATTCTGTCTCAATCCATCACCCCAACAAAAAGAGCAATTTCGTTGTTAAAGTTTTAAGTAGCCCTGTCTGGCCTGGAACTCACAATGTAGACCACATGGACTCAAGCTCACAAAGATCTTCCTGCCTCTGGAGTGCTGGGTCTAAACGTGTGTATCACCTTAACAATTGGCCTGGCAACGGCCCTCATCCTAACACTTATAAGAACCTCACCGACATCATTTGAAAGACAGTCGTCTCAAAGGCATAGAAGCATGTTGATTATACACACACACACACACACACACACACACACACACACACACACCACATCATTTAGGGTAAGTTAATGGAACAGTGCAAGCACAAGACACATAGGGAGTGGTACTGATACTCTGCAATCCATTGGAGGGATTTTGCAGTTGTCAGGGATACTTCTGGCCGTGTGGATGGGGACATGTACTTTTAAAGCAGCGGCTGCAAAGAGCTGCCTCTCTCTGCATGAGCTAATGGCAGAGTAATAGTACCAAAAGCTATGTGACAACCTGACTCACTTCTGGAACAGAAAAGAACCTTGGGTGCAAACACTAATGAAACCTGGCTGATGTCTGAAAATTACTGTGCCTAGAATTAAACCCAAATTCGTGAGGTAATTTAATATATAATGCTGTTATCAAAGCAATAATCAAAAGGAGTGCTATTCAATTTTGTACTGTGGCAACTGGGAAAGATCTCTACGACTGGTGTTTTACTTAACCTTCTCCAAAATAAATTTTAGATATATTATAATTTTTATAGACAAAAATATGGAAAAATTTTTAAATAGTCTCTTTTGGAAAATTCAGCTTTCTTATGTACAATGGGAAATCTCTAAGTCATGAGAGATAAGAAAACAGGTTTCTTTATGGGAAAAATCTAAACAAAACAAATATAAACAGCAAGCTGATAAGCATGTTTAAGATTGTAAACTCAAGAAAAAATAGCGTTTTTAATACAGGAAGAGCTTGGAAAAATTAATAAGAAAGACAATAGTAATTCAATTTTTTGTTTGTTTATTTTCAAGGCTGGGTTTCTCTGTATAGCCCTGGCTATCCTGGAACTCACTCTGTAGATGATGCTGGCCTCTAAATCACAGAGATCCACCTGCCTCTGCTCCCCCTTCCCCAGCTGGGATTAAAGGCATGCACCATCACACCCAGCTAGCAATACAGTTTTCAAAACAGGTAAAGACCCTAAACAAGTTACAGAATAGGAAATACAAGAGGCATTTTACATTTACACAAAAATGCACATTCTTACTTAGAAAATAATGCAATAAAAACTTTAAGGTGATGTTTCATATTGGACTGGCAAAGATTTTTACATTTGATATATTGTGTTATCAAGAACATAAAGAAACAAGCACACTAAGGAAGGTAGAAACATCATTGTGATCTGAATGGAAGACAATTTAGTAATGTAATTTCAATCCATAACACACATGCTCCTCCTGCCTGACTGAGTAGTCTAAATTATTATTCACCCTTCAAGCACATCCTCACAATCATAAAATCACACAAACAGAATATTAATTGCCACCTTCTTGGTGGGAGCAAAACAGTAAAAATTAACAAAATATCTATCAAGAAGGTAGGCGAAACAAGCTAGGGAGCACTGCTACAAACACACAAAAAACAATGAGCCCACTCTGCAGTAAATGAGAGCGGAAAGCCTCTACTGCATCAAAATAAGAAGACAAACAACGGTGGCGGGGGGGGGCGGGTGTCATCTATTAAGAAAGTTGCTGCTCTTGCAGAGGACCTGAGTTTAGGTCAAATGCCTCTGACTGCCTGTAATGCCAGCTGCAGGAGATCCAGTTTTCTTTTCTGAGCTCTCTTCTGACTGACTTCTGAAGGCCCTTGCATGAACATATACATAAATATAAAAATTTTAAAGACAAGAGGGTGAATGAATGTCACCATTTGGCCTATGTCTGTGTCTGTCTCTATGAGGTGTGTGGTCTACGTGTGTGTGTGTAGTGTCTGTGTGTGTAGTGTGTGCATCTGTGTATGGTGTGTGTGTATGTGTGTTTATGTGTGTCTATGAGTGTGTGTGGTGTGTGACTGTCTGTGTCTGCGTGTGTTGCATGTGTATGTGTCTCTGTGTTTGCATGTGTCTATGTGTGTGGTGTGTCTGTGTGTGTAGTGTGTGTGTCTGTGTGCAGTGTGTGTCTGTGTTCATGTGTGTCTATATGTGGGTGTTTGTGTCTGTGTGGTACATGTGTGTGTTGCATATGTGTCTCTGTGTTTGGGTGTGTCTATGTGTGTGTAGTGTGTGTGTGTCTGTGCCTGTGTTTATATGTATCTATGTGTGTGTGTGCCCATGTGTGTATATGGTGTGTGTCTGTGTGTTGCATGTGTGTGTTGCATATGTGTGTCCGTGTTTGTGTGTGTCTATGTGTGTGTGTGTAGTGTGTGTGTGTGTCTGTGCCTGTGTTTATGTGTAACTATTTGTGTGTGTGTGTGTGTGTGTGTGTGTGTGTGTGTGGTATGTGTGTGCTTGTGTTTATAACTGGATATAAAATCTGTGAATGGGACCCTTCCTGGGGAGAAAGATACAGAATGATACTCAGTGATGAAATATGTAAGTTTTCCCATTGGGTCTTATTTATATAG